CTTTGTCCTTCTTGGAGAGAAGAGCAGGCAGGCCGCCAGACTAAAGAGATACTAATTGTATTTGCATGAACCATTCCATGACATGTTCATGAAAGCATATGCATGTATATGACTTTGTGTATGTACCTGACACCTTCCATTAACACACAGGTCAGTCTCATATGGTCCACAGGGTGTCCCATCCATCACTCTGTCAGCCATCAGGACAGGGACATCTTGACCCACCCGGCTGCAAAACAGCACACACGGCTTCTCTGCTCATGTACACCCAAAGACATAGACACACATATACACAAACATGGGGGACATATGATCACACTGTTAATAGGTAAGGCACAAAAGATGTGTTTCAATTCAATGTTATGCAGGAAAAAATAAAGGATGAAATATTCCTGTAGGTGGAGAGCAGTGAACTGGTACAGTTCAAAATCAGAATCAGCTTTATTGGCCAGGTGTGACGGACACACGAGGAATTTGACTCTGGTACATTGGCTCTCAATGTGCAAATAGTAAACCAGCATAAGGCTGTGTAATATAACAAAATAGGCAGTATTAACAGCAACACTGACAGCAACAAACAGTGCAAACAATGCAGAATAAGCAGTATGTTAAAAATAATAAATCAGTCAGATAATTATTAGACATTAATGTGTTAGACTTTAATGTATTAGTAATGCAGTTTAGTAAGATTCAAAGTCTGCTCTAGTCTGCTTTGCTTCAAGGTTAGAAGACAATGTTGATTCTGAAAAGTGTACCTTGACACTAATTGTTTTCTTGTATTCATCCTGTGTTAGAATTATGTCTGAATGAATGTTTTAGTTGCACATCACGTAACAACACACACACACACACACACATGGAATTCTTCATTTTGTTATGGCCAGCGGCTCCATGCAGCTGGAGCATAAGATAAGAGAAGGAGATGCCGGACTGTCTCCAACTCGTGATGTTTTTATATAAGGGGTTAGCCCAAAAACTTATAAATGTATTGGGCTCTGTGTTTCCAGGGACTCATTTCTTCCAGCTCTTGTCTGGAGCAGGGAGTCACCTGGGTTATGTTCTGTAATTTTTATTTGTGGCTTTAAAATAAATCAGCACTAAAATGAAGAAAGACGGACTCCTTCCTTACTCAGATCTGTCCAATAAAAGAACTGGGGTATAATAAGTATAAACAGACAGTGAAGAATGCAAACAAAGGAATGTTCATTGAGATGAGATAAATAGGTATAAAAATAGTACTTAAAACTAGAGACCTGTACGAGTCCGTATAATCTGTACAATGTATATTACAGGTATTGCACTGAGGGTTATTGTCCAATCATACTGTCGTTGGTTAAGTGTTCATCAGAGTGATGGCCTGGGGGAGGAAACTGTCCCTGTGCCTTGGTGCACAGTGACCCATAACACTGTCCAGAGGGGAGGAGTTCAAATAGATTGTGTCCAGGGTGTGAGGGATCTGCAGTGATCTTCTCCGCCCTCCATTTGACCCGTGCGGTGTACAGGTCCTCCATGGAGGGCAGGCTCACACCAATGACCTTTTCTGCAGTCCTGACTGTCCGGTGAAGTCTGTACTTGTCCTGTTTGATTGCTGAGCCAAACCAGACAGTGAGGGAGGTGCAGAGAACAAACTCGATGATTCCTCTGTAGAACTGTATCAGCAACTCCTGGGGCAGGTCAAACTTCCTGAGCTGGTGCAGGAAGTATATCCTCTGCTGTGCCTTCTTGGTGATAGTCCTGATGTTGGACGTCCACTTCAGGTCCTGGGAGATAATGGAGCCCATGAACTTGTAGGACTTTACTGCTGATACAGCGCTGCCAAGTATGGTAATGGGGGTAAGGTGGGAGGGCTCTTGTGCTGTGTAAAATGTAATGTTCTGATGATGCTACTTTTATAATCCTTGTGTGTATCAGTCCTAATGCTTTGTTTCCTTTATGTACCTTTTAATTTTAAGACTAAGTGTTCTTTGTTACTACGTACTTACGTACACATGCGCTGCGCGGAGTGGCAGCAAGTTACAGCAGCTGTGTCCTTCTTGTATTCTTTCCGGTGTTTCTATGAAGTTCTGTTCTTATGGTGTTATGTTGGTTGTTCTCTATTGGTGCTGTAACACAGAACAGGGGTGGCCAATTCCAGTTCTCGAGGGCCGCTGTCCTGCTTGTTTTCCAACTATCCCTGCCTGACCTGCTGCTGATTACCTGGCTCAGATGTGTTCAGCCAGTCAGAAGCTGGAAGATACCATCTTAGATGAAAGTGGAGTGAGGAAAGATAAAATGAATTGGTATCTTGTGGCTCTGTGCTGTCTTTCAGTCCAGCTTTGTCCAGCCACTGGTAGGATTTTTCGATATCAGCCACTTCTTCTATTTGACGGTGGGACATACCGTGTAAGGGTTTGTCCTTCCATGAGGGTTCCTCTTTCTTCCATTGTTACTCTGGTTTCTACTGCCTGAGGTATTCACTAAGCACGTCATCACTTGGGGCCATCTTCCTGATGTATTCATGGATCTTTGTTGTTTCATCCTGGATAGTGGCTCTGACACTCACTAATCCTCGACCTCCTTCCTTCTGCTTAGTGTACAATCTCAGGATGCTAGATTTGGGGTGAAACCCGCCGTGCATTGTAAGGAGCTTCCTTGTCTTGAGCGGTTGGGGATACCAACTACGGAATGGAGCAACCATCAGCCACTTCCTCTACATGGATGACATTAAGCTGTATGCCATGAGTGAACAAGATATCAACTCACTGATCCATACCACTAGGATCTACAACCAGGACATCGGAATGTCATTCGGACTGGATAAGTGTGGTCGAAGGAAAGGAAGAGCAGGAACCCTCATGGAAGGACAAAACCCTACACGGTATGTCCTACCGTCAAATAGTAGAAGTGGCTGATATCAAAAAATCCTACCAGTGGCTGGACAAAGCCGGACCGGAAGACAGCACAGAGGCACTAATTATGGCAGCACAAGAACAAGCTCTAAGTACAAGATCAATAGAGACAGAGGTCTACCATACCAGACAGGACCCCCGGTGCACGCTGT